AAGGTAAACAAAGATAAGGCGTTCAAAGTGTGATTGCTCAACCAGGGTGTCAAGCAAATTATTATTTTTAAATTCCCTGACTTTTCCAGGTTTTCCCTGACAAATTCAGGTGAAATTCCCTGACTACTGTAGAGGCGGTTAAGTACATAAGACCATTACAACAGAAGGCATTGAGCATTAAGCACTGTGAGGATCACAGTGCTCATCGCGCGCCTAATCGATATTCGGGTTCGTCCAGTCCGGATTAAACAAGCACTTTCTTGCCGTCGACACCGTCAGCGAAGAGGCCACTTCCAAAAACACGACGAAAACGTGACACTCAACAACACACACCTTGTTAATAACCCGATGGCAGCATGGCCGTCAAATGAACACTTTCGCATAGTTTCGGCTTCGATTGAATTGTGGTCTGCGGCTTTCCTATTTGTTACAAAATCTAGTAGCTCTAACTGAACCTAGCCTAGCGTTGCACCCTCAATTCAATCAAATCCAATCCAAAGCTTGGACTGGATTTGTCGGCTGTTCCCTTTGCCTTGGGTAGCACACTCTACATCGGGTCAGCGGAAAAATAGGCAATTTATTGCCTATTTTCTTGCCCCCAAGTCCGCAAGTCTTTGCTCAAGGCACTCGATGGCGTTTACGGCAAATTTTCCCTGACTGGGCTCGCTCTTTGACAATATCCCTGGCAATTCACGGTAATTCAAATTTCCCTGACGATTCCTCGTTTTACCGGTTGCTAGACACCCTGCCAACAGTTGTTGTCAAAACACTCGACCTAACAAAAACTTTTAGAGCGCAGCTCTTAGGGGCCCGTTCCCGGCTTGAGCGGCGTCGCCGTCGGCGTAACCAACGTCATCCCAAGGTCACTCGACCCCCAAGGTCACGTGACCCCAAGGTCACGTGACCCCTCCCCAAGGGTCACGCGACCCCAAGGTCACGTGACATGCAAGGTCACGTGACTTCCCAAGGTCACCCCAAGGTCATGTGACCCCTCCCCCAGGGTCACGTGACCCCCAAGGTCATGTGACACCCAAAGTCATGTGGCTCCCCAAGTCACGTGACCCCCGGGGTCACGTGACCCTTGATGACGTCATCAGTGACGTCACTGATGACGTCACCGGCATTCGCATCGTCAGCGTCATCATCACTGATGACGTCATCAGTGACGTCACTGATGACGTCACCGGCATCCGCATCGTCATCGTCATCATCACTGATGACGTCACCGGCATTCGCATCGTCATTGTCATCATCACTGATGACGTCATCAGTGACGTCATTGATGACGTCACTGGCATCCGCATCGTCATCATCACTGATGATGTCACCGGCATCCGCATCGTCATCGTCATCATCGCTGATGACGTCATCAGTGACATCACTGATGACGTCACCGGCATCCGCATCGTCATCATCACTGATGACGTCACCGGCATCCGCATCGTCATTATCACTGATGACGTCATCAGTGACGTCACTGATGACGTCATCGCTATCCGCATCGTCATCGTTACTGATGACGGCATCGTCATCGTCACGTGACCCCCACCCAAGGTCACTTGACCCCCCCCCCCCCCGAGTACCCTTCCCTCCTCCTCCTCAAAAGCTGCGCTCTAATTCAGCGTTACAGGGAGTTGTAAACGGCTTTCACTTTTTTTTTTTTTGGCTTTGTTTATTTTGTGGTTAAGAAGTCGCGCAGCGACAACGGTGTTCGGAGAAAGAGCGCACGCTACCGTTTGGGCACTTCCTGCCCTCCCTATGTGCGCGCGTGCCCTTTCCCTTGCTTTTGCCATCCTCCACCTTTCTTTTTTTTTTTTTACGGTTGCTTTTTTCTTTCTTACAAATGTTCTTTCGCTGGGTATCTCCGTGCGCGTATGCTGGCTTGGCGGTCTGCCAGCCTTGCAACGCAAACTATGTGCTCGCCGTGGGCGCAATCTGACCGCGGGAGAAGCGACGGGCGGCCGTGCCTAGTTCGCTATATCGAGTGTCCCCGCCATGGGAGTTTGATACAGAAAAACAACGCTCCTATACTATGACTTGTGATTTTTAAGGGGTTGTTTGGACTGTTTGATACAGTGTAGACCGCACTATAAGTGCATATAACGTATGTTGCGGGAGTAGCGAAAATCCGCACTATAAGCGGTACCGCGCTATAACCAAAACATCAATTTTTCAGGCCAAAATGCATGCCATCAGACAACTTACCTTTCTAAAAGAATTTATTTTATGTTAGATGAAAAATAGAGCTTAGTTTGAGGAAAGTCTTTATTTTACCAGACTAGTTCACTTCTCTCTCAAGTGTGTCACACATTTTGAAAGAAATGAGCGACTTTTGCCTGGCGCAGCCTTTTAACGGCGTCCCGGGTTGCGGACGGACGTTGCGAGCATTCAGGATTGCTAACCCTAATCACTTTTCTCCGGCGATGAAAATGCGTGAAAATTCACATCCTTTATACGGTACGCGCCAGTAATACCTTCAACTTTAGCACAGGCATGAAATGCTCCAAATAAGAAATCCGGGCGATGTTCGAAAACACAAATGCCTAGGAAGCACCACTGTAGTCGAAGTAAACAAGCACGACGACACGGGCGTTTCTGCCGTCTTGAGAGTGCCGCCACAACATCGCAGCACAAGTAGGTGGATCTTCCCTTCTAGTACGCGCTGGGTTATCAGAGCGACACACAATGAAAATTCACAGTTAAGGATAGCGCTTTTACGCGGAACGATGAGCTTCCACCACGCCGTCTACATCGACAATCACAACTGATGCCATGTTCGCGGATAGAAGCAGCCGGCCAGCGACCGGCATGCAATGCGCGCGAACACTTCTCCTCGACCTGCGATTGGTCTGTCGTTGCAGTTGTTTTCCGACGCAGCGAAGGGACGTACGCACGTGAACAACACGTGCGTGCGTCCCTCCATTGCTATGGCAACTGAAGCCTCTCTCTTCGCTTCTCCCCGCTTCTTCAAGCAACCTCCTTGCCCCGCGAGTGCCGCTTGCGGCTAGCGCCGTTATCTAGTGCCGCACACGGAAGCGTGCTCGCTGCGCTGGTCGGCCGGCGCGGTCGGCGGGCTGTTCCAAAAACCGCACTATAACCAGTATTTCCCTTCGCGCGCCTGCATTTTAAGCAGTATGTAAATACATGGAGTTCTATGGGAGGCGAACCGGTGGTTTAAAAAAGCCGCATTATACCCGGTCCTGCACTATAAGCGGTTACGTTGTAAGTGGTCTATACTCTATAAACAATAATTCGAAATGCGCGGGTGTCATATAACCGGGCTCGACTGTAACAAGAGATCAGGACCTTACTATCTAATAATGCCAAGGAAGGCTGACTCATGCTGGTTGTCCTCTTTTAGGGGCGAAGCTCCTTAGGGTCTAGCCTTGTCCATCCGTCCGGCGTCCGTGCTCACATCGATCGCACTGCCTCTGGGATCGGCCAACTTTAAAAAAATACCGCATCTCCACGTGGTGAATGATGTTGATTAAGGCGAAGCTCGGGTGGTGTTGATATGATAATGATTTTGGTCATAGGTAGTGCTGATGGTGCCGTTTTCATTCATGTCAGTAGGAGAATGTGTGGTTTTCTTCTTTTTCTTTTTTAAAGAAGACAGATGGAATGGCATTGCAGAACCCCTACTCTTTTTTTTCTTCTTTTTCTTGATACTGATTTTGGTCATAGGTAGTGCTGATGGTGCCGTTTTCAATCACGAGCAGGAGCACGCCGGACGGCGGGCTGGACATGGCTAGCCCCTAAGGAGCTTCGCCCCTAAAAACTTACGCCCGCACCGAGGTTAGAACTCAGGACCGCTTGTTTACGAGGCAGACGTCTTAACCACTACGCTACACTCCAACGTTGCATGTAGCCGCTCAACGTCTATACAGGAGAGGGCGCTGCGGTCCAATGCGCGTATATAATCGCATTAAACTTTGCATGCATTGGCTCAACGCTTATAGACGAGAGGGCACTGCGGTCAGATGCTCAATTGCGTATATAACCACGATCCATACCACACATTCTCTTTCTGACATGGACCGTTGACTTAAGCGGTAAAGATGCATTCTCACGGCTTCTAGCGGATCCAAGCTGATCCGCTAGAAGAACCACTGGCTCTGCATTTCACCGACCACAAAGCAGTAATAATGAAGTCAAAATGCAACCCGGAACTCAGCACTACCTATTAGCAATAAAAAGAAATCAGCACCATCAGCACTACCTATGAACAATAAAATCAGTATCATCAGCATCACCAGAGCTTCGCCCCAATCAACATCATTCACCACGTGGAGATGCGGTCTCTTTTTCTTTATTCACACTTGCCACGACCAATGAAGAAGTTTTCTGTCGACATGTGAGGGCGCATTTTTTCCGAGACCCTAGCGCATAACAGCTTCGCTGTAAGATGTGTAGTAAATCTTTTTCTCAAAAGAATTCTATATTTCTGAAGGAGGAAAGAGCGAAGTGTCCTTGCAAAAAAATAGTTTGGTGGACTTATATTTGGTTTTAGCTCAAAACGGGACGCAGCCGACGCTAAGAGCTAATGAAACCATTCATCAAAAGCAAAAGTCCCTAGGCCTTTTCTGTTCATGATTTGTTCTTTAGTGATGATTACAGAAACATGACGACCACCACGATGGTGTGCTTTTGACGCTGTCTGATTGGTCCCATCAGCATCGTCTGGACTCGAGGTGAAACGAAGCCTTACAGTTTAGGGCTTCCAATATTAGCGGACAACCGATAAAAGGAGACGACAAAGTCAGTCATTCCAATGTGGTTAGCAGAGAAGGATAGAGCCTATACTTAAGCATGTACAAGACAATGATCATGATCTAATGCATAAGGCCCCCTCGCAGACCTCTGTGGGACCAAGCGGAATGCCACGGAACACTGGAAGTGACATTCAGTGAGCTCAAGTGCACTAAATTAGCCCATCTAACAGGGGTCGCACGACTGTAATCTCGTTGCCAGTGGACAAGAGGAAGGCAAGAGCGGCTCACCTGCCCCGTCTCATTTGGCTGGTTGATGTCTTCTAGGCCCCCTGCCGCCTCCAGCACTGGCAGCAGGATGCTTGGGACGCGATGCTGCAGGACCGCCAGGTGCAGGATGCTGGAAGACATGCATTCTGTCGACAGACCTCCCTGGCACGTCTGGGCATCACATCCCAACAAAGTTTCTTTCCTCCGTTTCCTTCTTGCTTTTGTATGTCCTTCTCGCGAGAGACTGTCACTTGACTAAGGCAACACTCCATATTTGGTTTCTTTTTTTCTTGAGGTGTTGTGTGACAACATCTCAAGAAAGGCCCACTGCCTCGGAGAGGCAGAGCAGGCCTTTCGTGGTAAGGACACCTAGTGAATCATCTTCGTGTTCAGCATTTGCTTCTCTTTGAAAAGGATTGAACATGGAGAGATATCATTATCGGAATCATCGGAACAATCTACTTTAACTCTGTCGTGGCAACCTCAGACTAAGCTGATGCTATGCGGCTGTCTTCAAGAAGGATGTGCAATAAAGGCTCAGAGACCTCAGCATTTCTTGCACTGTAAACAACTTTATTTTTACGGCAACATAATTTCCTGGATTTTGCTAAGAACCGGGAATTTTGGGAATATTTAGTGGGCAGGACATTTTACAATTGGAAGTGGTTCTCTATGCGCTCCTTATGAGGGAGTTCATTCTTCCACCAGGTTTTATGTGTGGAAAATAGCATTCAGCAGGAGGTAAGTGACTGGAAAATCTCAAACTCTTTAGTAATTAATACAGATAAGAAAGTTTCCACCCAAAAATAGTGTTTTCATCATCTACTCAAGGGCTCTTTCTCCAAGGACGAAATATTGACTTTGTACAAAATGTGAAGGTTCTCGGTGGGACATTTAATGAGTACATGTGCTGGGACGCCCAAGCACAATGTATGGCTGGAGGACTTTCAAAAGTTGCCAGCTATACTTTCATTATTAAATGCCCAGATATATTACCGCTTTCGGTATTTTACTCTCGCTATAATTACTGCTTTCTTGTTTGGGGTGGCACACAAATGTGCATCACCTGCACGTTCTCGAGAAGGAAACCATCCAAATCTAACATATCAAACGTCTGCAAGGAAAAATCCACTTTCAATCAGTATGAAGCGGAGGCTGTCTGCATATGCAGGCCGTCGTGTCGACACACGGTCTTGCTTGACAACAGGGTGCTGCGGTTTCCCTTGTCTAATCTTATACACACAGTCTGAGTAGAAAGGATATTCATTCTTTGTTTCTCCAGTTTTATATTTTTGATGGGACCTCCAACCTGTCAGAAATGTTTGTATCTCGGATATTTTTTGGTTTAATGTTGCGTGTTTAGCTTCTATGTAAACTTTGTTGGACGGATCACTAGTACGTAAAACAGTTTCTGTCATTGCTGGTGGAAAGGGGAAACTCTGTCGAACGACAACAGTCTGCTCTTTTTTCGTCCCTCCCACTCTCCCCTGGGGAGAAACAATAAAGTTGAATCTGCATGCTAAACTTTTCTAAATAATTTTAAATTGTGAAATTTGCGAAAATAAATAGATTTTCTTTAAATTAACTCATTTTAGTACCTGATGCACTTGCTGAAGCAAAAAAAAAAATACTTTGATTCTACAAGAAAAAACTTAACAAAGAAAAACTGAGATTTTTTGAATGGAAAACGTCGGACAGAAAAAACGTTATCATTAAAAAAAAAGCCGTTGTTCCAGACAGACGTTGAAACGAAGGAACCATGTGAGATGCCCAATGGGGCAAGCAGGTTCCAGCATACGAGAATAGTGACCTTCTTGAGTTCTAGTGTACACTCTATGCGGAGCGCAAGCTCGTCTGCTTCTTTTGCAGAGGTTGCGACGCCAGAAAGACTCCGAGCTCCGATGAGTTCTGAATGAAGGATAGTGGGTAGATCTGAAGGCAGTCTGCTTTGAGGTCTGGCCACTAACCTTCAATCAAAGCCAATCAGAGCTCGACATCTTTCTGACGTCACCACAACTCCTGCCCAAGAAGCAGACAAACTTGCGCTCCGAATTCAGTCCAAAGCTGACAGTGCAGTGGGAGGTATGCGCTCGGCGGACCAATCGACCGCTTCCCTTTGGCCGACTTCGCCCTCTGCGTGTAGGTATGGGCATAATCCCGTGGGGAGATGGGCATATGACTGGTACGACGTAGCTTCCACCACACTGCCGACTTTGGGTACCGTATTTGCACAAATACAATGAGTCCTTTTTCTTCTACATTACGCGCTCCAAAACGCACCTCGCGTTACATTCAAATTGAGTTCAGAAACAAAGTGCGCGGGAGAAAGCCGTCCCTCCGGCTGAATGCAGGAGGTCAGGCGGGAAAAAAAAATGGTGGTGCTGGAGGGAATTTATTAGTTATTGGGCCACGAGACGGGAGGAACAGAAAACATAAAGAGCATTTTCCTCGCGTTTGTGTTTGTAGGACGCACGCCAAAAATCATGCCGCAGAAATGCAGCGTGCCATGCCGGAATGCGGGCGCTGGCCGATTCGAGCCAAGTCAAGCCAGGCCGAGTCAATACAAGCAAAGTCAAGACCACTTTCCATGTTAACGCAGTCCCGCATCGCAAGATCTTTGTTTATGCAGAAGGACAAGAACAAGAATGTGATCGTGTATCAGGTCCAGCAGTCTTCTTTCTGCCGGTGCATTTTTTAATTTCTGCTCCAGAGTGGTCTGGTGTTTGTGTACTGGTGCTTCTGCTTCGTGCCTTGCTTTGCTGGTGGGAAGCTGAGTAGCTCACGCCGAAGAAAACAGACGAGCGGTGCCCTGCTGCGTATGTGCGAAGTCACCGAGTGAATTGCAAATGCGACAGTAAGGTCTTGAGCGGCGAGGATGAGTGCATCCGCCCTATGTTATAAAAGGCCGAATAAACCCTGAAAGGAAACTTCCCCGCCTGGACTAAGCCAAAGTCGCCACCCACTCTACATGGCGCCAGAAGTGGTTAGACCCGTATCGCCGCTGATCCTGTACCCACAGCTCGGACAGCTCGGAGGCAAAGCCTCGCTTTCACTGTCAACCACTCTGCTTCACCGCACTCAGCCGTGGTGGAAGGCTTCACTCTCGCCGCTTGGCCATGATTATCGCTGAAAATCATGGGAATCCCGCCGCTCCAATCCCGTCGAGCCTGGTGCCAGAATGTCCACCGCCGGCGTTTGACTTTGACAGTCCCAGCGCTTGGCCCATGTCGCTCGTAGAGTACGAGGACTATGCAGAGAACAAGTCGTCCGCTTCCTTTGCAAAGGTTGTGGCGACGTCAGAACGCCGAGTTCTGATTGGTTCTGAATGAAGGATAGTGGGTAAACCTCAAGGCAGCCTCCTTTGAGGTCTACCAACTATCCTACTTTCAGAGCCAATCAGAACTCGGCATCTTTCTGATGTCACTGCAACTCCTGCGCAAGAAGCAGACGACTTGCTCTCCGCATTAGTTTGCCACTGGCCACAATGCCGCTGTGCCAGAAGACCAAGCGCGTGATATAACGATCATAAAAATATGTTGATTAGGTCACACAGCACAGCTTGCTGAACTTCATCAAATATCGTCGCAGAGAGGCGGTTTGACAAACAAAAAAAAAGTCATTAAGAATGTTATGACCTTGACACTTAATTAGCACGAAAAAGCCTATGTCTAGAGTGTTCCCAAAACATTATATTGATGTAGCGTAAAAAGTAGGGAAAAGGGGTGGAGCGAAATATGGCACCTCCGATAAGCTGAAAAAACGTCAGTTTCCACCTTGGCCGCTTCAACGGTCCATAACTTGAAAACAAAAAATCCGAGTAAATTGTTGTTTGCATCTACTTTTATTATAGGAATTGCCCCAAAACATATATTTTTTTCGTAAAAATTAAAAATTCTACCCTAAATCCGTGCCTGAGTTTAGATGAAATTGCCCATATAGAAACCTTTTACGCAAAAGTGCCAAAATTCAACTTTTTAAATTACTACAGTCGAGCGCGGTTAAATCACACTCAGGTATTTCGAAGTATTGTTTATATCAGACAGTCCAAACATCCACTTGAAAATCACATGTAATACTATACGAGCGTTGTCTTTTTGTATCCAACTCCCATGGTGGCGACACTCGAAATAGCAAACCAAGCCCGGCCGCCCGTTACAATCCAATTGCGCCGGTGGCGAAAACATTGCGTGGTTGTGGGGCTGGCAGACTGCTAACAAGTAGTATATGCACCGCAAGAGAGCAGTTGTAAAAAAAAAAAGAAACAATTAACCGTAAAAAAAAGAAAAAGTGGAGAACGGCAAGGGAAAGGGCACGCGCGCATGTGTAGGGAGAGCAGGGAGAGCTTGCCAAATACTTTACTAAAAGGAATACAGGAAAATCCCTTCATTTGCATTAGACAGAGCGATGGCCGCGCTGTCCTTTGGTAGCGCGGGATAATTTGGGTGTTGTAGTATTGTGAGTTTAGCAGTCGTGTGGGCACGAATTGTGAACGAGAGAAGTGCATGCCCCACTCAGAGTGGCGCGTGCTCAGCTCGTGCGTGCTTGCTTTGGAACAGTTGACCCAGGGATTTGGACTAAACAAGTCTACAGTCACCGGTGTCTTTCCTCGCCCTTGGCAAGGCCCGTAAGCAAGCGAGCCCCTGCCGCTATCGTGTCGCCTTCGCGGATAAACCCGACATCTACTCCCCGGCCACGACGACGCCTGCAGCAGCGGCTCCTTTCTCGACATTGACGAGGCAAGACATCGCCACCACCGGCCTTCCAGGCCATCCACGCAGCCCTGAGCCGGCACCCGACACCACCTATCGGACCACCACCTCACAACCAACACTGGCCACCTACAAAAAATACAAAAGGTGTGTCCCTCTCTCTATTTTCTCTTCCCTCCCATTTTCTCCTCCCGCCAAAACATGTGACCGATATGCGCCACCGACGATGCCAAACACGGGTGAGCGATCACGCGGGCACCGGGCTAGGCGTGACGACTATCAGCGGCCACCATTGTGCGACCTGTCACCGCATGTTGATGCCGGTGTCCTTCTCTGTGGATGACACAGTGTCCTGTTGTAATGCACCAAGTATGACGCGTCTTCCGCTGTAAACAATCAGGGAAAATGGCAGGAGGGACAG